AGCTGACATGCGTAATAGCTGTGGAAGATTGAAAGTGAGTGATTTGATGAAAGAAGAGGAGAAGAGAGGAGGAGTGAGGCACCCGGGGAAGAAGGCATGTTATGTTAGGAGATGGAGGCAGAAAAATGACAAGAAGAAATATGGAATAGGGAGAAATAAGAATTCAAGTAGGCAGCTGATGGACTAGGGATGGGTACCGAGCCCCGGTATTAAACGGGCCCCGGGGCTGAATTGTTAAAGACCGTGGTACCGTTAAGCTCCGACGTTAACGGTCTTTTTATCGGTACTGGAGACATGTAAAAAATATATGTATTATTGCTACACAAACATTATATTGCAGTTTTAGTGTCGCCAACTCCGTTACTAATATGCAAAAAGACTGCAAAATGCGTCTTTTTAGTATTTTTGATCTTTCCAATCCAGGCGAGAGATCTCTCTCCCACGCCTGCTTGGGAGGAGGCGGGGCAGTTTACACACACACGCAGCTGCTACATGCAACAACACACACACACGGAGGAGATGGCGGAGAGAACACGCTCCGAGGTGTGGTTAAACTTTACCCGTCTCGATGTGGACAATCCTCGTTGCCAAAAGTGCTATAAGAGTTTAGCATGTAAGGGCGGTAACACGAGCAATTTGTCTAAACATTTAGCAAAAGTGCACCACATCCAGACGGAGGAATGCACCGGGTTCGACTGTCTTTCTAGTAGCTCTGTAGCCCCGTCCACGAGTAACGTTTCCACGTCAGGTATGTTATGTATGCTAGCAGCAACACACAGAGTTAACTCAATTATACAAACATGGGTTGATGATTAGAAGTAACCGAGTTATTTATTTTGTTAAAGTTTCAGCTATTCTGTTTACAATTCTGTCATCAGATTATTTAATACGATTTGTTAAAACATTGTTGTTTCTTTTGATGTGAAATATTATGTATTTAATTTAAATAAAAAGCAATGTTAGTTTTGTTCACAATTTGTTTAGTTAGTTTACCTTTTTTTTTCTTTTCAAAAGAACCGATAAGAGTACCGTTAAAAGACCGGACGATAAAAGTAGTAGTACCATTAAAACCTTAACGATACCCATCCCTACCTGAGACACAAGGCCGGGGACCTTGGGGCTTAACAGGTTAAGAAGCCCTCAGACGCTGCTTCTTGCAGATGTTGCGATTTTTCCCCCGCCCGCGGGGGAATGGGGCTTTACAGGTTAAGTACCTCAATATAAGTACAGTACTTGAGTAAATCTACTTACTACCACCACAGCAATTATATGTGTGCTAGCAGCCCATAATCCACACTATACATACAATTAATCAACATGAATTCTGTTTCTAATTTCAGGGCTCGACAGTAACGGTTGCCAGTTGCCAATGACAACCATTCAGAAAAATTCTGTGGCAGACTACAGCGCCACTTACAGACATGGCATATGTACTACAGCGTCTCCAGCGCTTTCTAGCGGTCTCTCATTATGAGAGACCGCTAGAAAGCGCTGGAGACGCTGTAGTACATATGCCATGTCTGTAAGTGGCGCTGTAGTCTGCCACAGAATTTTTCTGAATGGTTGTCANGTGTGCCTTGGCAGTCTCATATCAGGTTCCGACTGGTCACAACAATAATTAAATATTACTCTTAATACAACAAATAATTAACATTTATCTATTTTGGGGTGCACATTTTGCTGTTTGCTGTCCTTATTTCTTTATGTTAAAACCTGGTTGCCACTGATGGCAACCAAAGGCCAAAAGGCCCAAAGGTTGACATTTTTTCTGAATGGTTGTCATTGGCAACTGGCAACCGTTACTGTCGAGCCCTGAAATTAGAAACAGAATTCATGTTGATTAATTATTAATCAACATGAATTCTGTTTCTAATTTCAGGGCTCGACAGTAACGGTTGCCAGTTGCCAATGACAACCATTCAGAAAAAATGTCAACCTTTGGGCCNGGTAAAGTTTCGTTTTGCACTTTTATTTTGGTAGTAATAAGATCGGGACTCTTATTTTGAAGGAACTTTTACCGGAAGTGAATGGACAACATTCCTCTTTGCTTTTCGTTAGCAAAATTCCTCTTACACTTTATCAGTTGAATCAATTTGAACATTAAGTTGAGGTGTTGGCCAAACTTTTTCCCCCACAGTCAAACATCTTAATTTGCTTCGCCATTTTTTGTAAAACAAACACACGGCGCACCGCGCACGCGAGTAAACGTGCATCGCTTTCTGGCTCCGTAATCACACCAATGCACATGCAACTTAAGTATCAGGTTCCGACTAGTCACAACAATAATTAAATATTACTCTTAATACAACAAATAATTCACATTTATCTATTTTGGGGTGCACATTTTGCTGTTTGCT